TTCAACTCCTCAAGTTAATCTTTCTCCCCGCCTGGCAGCTGTTAGTAAATGTACAGATGCCGAGATATCTTTAAGCATTTAGGACACTTCACATCTGTGCGCTTAGTTTCCAAATTCTTTTTTCCTCTTAATATATTAGACTTAGGTGTTGGCATGAAAACAGAGGAGTAATTCCTGAGGTTCTTGAGTCATTTATCCTCTACAGAAGCAATAACCCTGAATCAGATAATATGTGAAAAATGCAATGATTTGGGCCCAGCCTGGAAAGCTCACTCAGCTAGTGAAGTCCTTCCTGCCCAGGCATGAGGGTCTGAAGTCAGATCCCAGCACCCGTATAAAATTACAGGTGACGTAAGCCTGTGGGCCCGGTTCTGGAGCAGGCTGGCCAGTTCTGTCAGCTCGACACGACTTACAGTCCTTTAGAAAGATGGAGCATCAATTGAGAAAATGCCCCAACTGGATTGGCCCATGAGCAAGCCTGTAATTGCCAATCTTCTTGATTGCTAATTGATGGGGGAGGGCCTAGCTCACTGTGGGTGGTGCCACCACTAGGCTGGGTGCTGTGAGAAAGCAGGCTGAGCAAGCCCTGAGGAGCAAGCCAGTGAGCAGCACCCACCCCTCCACGGCCTCTGCATCAGTCCCTGCCTCGAGGTTCCTGCCTTGAGTTCTTGCCCTGACTTCCTGGACAATGGAAAGCTGTGAAGTGAAATTAAACCCTTTCCTCCCCAAGTTGCTCTTAGTCAGTGTTTTATCACAGCAACAGAAACCTTAAGGCACAAAGACAGAAAGTTCCTTGTGGTCCCTGAGCAGCAATTCTAGGCAATCTGTGAGCTCCAGGTTCAGTGAGAAGCCTATCTCCAAAAGTAAGCGGACACGGATTGAGGAGCAGACCCAGCATTGACCTTTGCGTCCACACACAAACATGTACAGCACACACGTGGGATGGGGAGCAGTGGTCACAGATCCTCAGCACTGGAGTGGTTTAAAACATCTCCCTTTCTCTGGCTTCGTTTTTCATTTCATATGAAGAAAGTACTTCTAATAGCATGACAAGCTTGTCTTGGCCTCTTGCCAGGAGTGACAAACTTGTCTCTGTCAATATTCTATCATGGGATCATGTAACCTGTCATTTAAATGGCTCCTTAGTCGGAGCTTTGGCTGTACATCTCTGTCAATGAAGAGGCTGTGTCCTATCAGCACTTTCACTATCTGAATTCCCCAATGGGAATGGTGATGCGACTCCCAGACCCTCAGCCAGAGGGCAAAGAATGATAGGAAACACCAGAGATGCCGCCAGGCCGCTTCTGCAGCAGTGCCCCGGGCAGAAGAATGCCCGAGGGTCATAGCTGCCTGCTTTCAGAGATTACTTCCCACATAGACTTCCTTGTGAGCCTGCTTATGTGAGTTTTGTTTTTTAAGGCCAGCATGTAGATCAGCCAACGCCCACATCATAGCTACCCGTAAGCCACCTCCTGTCTTCGCTGGGAAGGATATTAGCTCAAAAGCACAGAGGAGACACAGCTAGGAAGGCAACAAACGGGCTGGTGGCTCCATCTCAGCTTCCTGGGCCACTTAGAAAAGTTGACTTCCAGGCTCAAGATATCTCTTAACTTCCCTTGCTCTGTGAGTCACTCCTGGGAGAAAATACAAATAGTGAACAGCAAGCATCTTCTACCCCTACACTCACCGGGAGAACAAGTCTGAAGCTTCCCAATGCTGCTCACATTGGAGCTTCCTTAGTAGAGGGTTCAGCACCTGGCAGGTCACTGGAGCCAACCATATCTTAAAGTGCCATCCATGTAAGGGACTGGAGAGGTGGTTCAGTCAGCAAAGTGCTTGCTCTGAAGCACGAGAGCCTGAATTTAGATCCCCAGCACTCACCGGAAAAATTTAGGTGTGGTGGTACACACCTGTAATCCCAGCACTGGGGACGCAGAGACAGGGTTATCTCTGGAACCTGCTGGCTAGCCAGGCTAGACCCTGTCTCAAAAATGTAAGATGCAGAATGCTAGAGGAAGACATGTAATGTCAACCTCTAGGCTTCACTCACCTGTGCACACGTGCACTTGCACACCCACAATCATACCCACCTATGCATACACACACACACAGCTCCGTGTAAGAACTTTCTCTAACTCATCTGCCTGTCTTGTTGTTTAATCATCAATTGGTTTACTTACATGCCAGAGACTGTGACAGGTCTGTGTGAGCAGGATGAACTTGGTAAACCCTTTGAGAACCGCTGCAGGTATGGGGAAAGCATGTGTTCCCTGCATCTCTCGCCAGGGAAGAAAAGCTCTCTGGTATTTAAGGAAAACTAGAATCAGGTCAGGTTGTGACTCTTGCAATCCCTGTTTTATACAAGCTAGAGAATAATGGCAATACAATGGCTTCCTAAATTCCACTGGATACTTACAATCCCAGCTTGCTGCTTACTTTAGAAACTTGAGAAATGCCATTTGTGGCTGGTTCATCGGCCTTTTGTTGCAACAGAGCACAGGGCACCTTTATTCCAGTGGTAATGCTCTAATATCAAGGCTTGAAGGCTCAGCCAGATGTCTCCAGGGCTTCAATTAACATGTATTGACTTTAACTCTATCACAGTCTGTTTTTAACAAAAGAATCAAAACACCACACTGATTTCACACACACACACACACACACACACACACACACATTCTCTCTCTCTCACACACACACACTGTCTCTTAAGCAAATTTAGCTAAGTGAAGCAGAACATTGAAGAATTCGGGTTTGTATCCCTTAGATAAATATGCAGCTATTCAGACAGCTTCTAGTAGAAGCTGTAATAAGTTATTCCATTCTCTTAATTCGTCCTCTGGTGCACAGCCCACTGAGTGTCAGTACAATGGGATCACCCCTCAGCCATCACTGCTGTAATTTTATGCTGTCACTGTTCTTTAAACTTCCTCAACAGTTCTCAAAGCATCAATGGGGCTCTCAGTTGGTGGAACACTTGCCTAGCATCCCCAGTACCACATAAACTGGACATGGGTGCCCACTCTGTCATCTCAGCACTCAGGAGGTAGAGACAAGAGGATCAGAAGCTTAAGAGCATCCTTTGCTACGTAGCCAGTTCAAAACCAGCCTGGGGTAAAGGCAACATTTCCAGAAAGAGCACAGAGGTTGGGGGTGGGGTGGAGGGGTGTGGTTAGCTGTCAAGAAACAGTGTTGTTACTCTTATAGCAGAAGATAAATTTCCTGTGAGGTCGCCTTCATTAGGGGCTTTTGGTTGGTGTGCCGATGCCTGGGTGATGGATTAGGCTGGCAAACCTGCTCCTGTTGATCTCAGCTTGGACAGACGGGAGGGAGGAACGATGGGTCTTCAGCATTCCAGTCTTCAGACATCATCTCTGAAGAAGGCTAAGTTTATATTTATAAAGTTGTTTTCAGACTTTTTTTTGTTTTAAAAGGATGACTTTCACCAGCTGATGTCAGAAATACGATATGTCACTATACTGTTAGGACAGATAATTTAAAGGTCATTTTATCTTTAAAAGGTTATAATTGGGAGGAATTTGGAAAACAAAAAACAGTATTGTGGTGATATTTTGTTTGTGCTTTAGTAAATAAAGCTTGCCTGAAGATCAGAGTATGGAGCTAGCCACTAGTTATTAGCCACAGAGGCCAGGCAGTGGTAGCACACACCTTTAATCCCAGCACTCTGGAGGTAGAGGCAGGCAAACCTCTGGGAGTTCAAGGCCACCCTGGTCTACATGAGATTGACCCAGTCTAAAGGAGAAATGGAGGCAGATAGTGATGGCTCACACCTTTAATCCCAGTGCCTGGGAGGTGGAAATAGAAAGGGATGTGGCTGGGTGAAGAGAGGAGACAGGAGGTCATTGCATTCGGTATGAGGATCCCTAGGGACAGAATCGTCCCTTCCATCTGAGCATTGGTGGAGGTCAGAACTAGTGGCTGGTTGCTCTGCTTCTCTGATCTTTCAGTATTAACCTCTATATCTAAGTTGGGCTTTTTATTATTAAGACCAATTAGAATTCCCAGTATACAGTATAAAGAAAAATCTGGAAATTTTCACATTTTTCTTCTACTTAAAAACTATTTCAAATCATTCTATTATTGTGTTATTTAATATATAAATCATACTGCTATAAATTAAAGTATGGGTTCACTTTAAATAAAAAGAAAGTCTTTACTCTTACATTAATGTTTTTATTTCTTCTTTAATGCATTGGGTTTTCATGTTTTATTTTGTTCTTATTTGCCTAATATATTAGTTTTACTGTCTTTTTTTTTTTTGAGATGGCCTCATGTAGCCCATGCTGGCCTCAAACTTTGCACGTAGCTAAGGATACCCTTGATGTCTAATTCTCCTATAGTGTTGGGACTGCAGGCATGTATGGTGCTGGGGATTGAACCCAGGGCTTGGTACATGATAGGCAAGTACTCTATCAATTGAACTACATCACCAGCCCAAGATGGATGATCAGAATTTCAAGGTCACCCTCCCCTACAGAGGGATTTTGAGGCTAGCCTGAGATGTTAAAAATAGGATAAATATCTGTTGATGTATATGGACGGACTAGCTTTACTTCCCAGCTTTCCGCCCTGCCTCTTTGGGTTCTGGAGTCATCAATACGACTAGGTAGGGGCTAAGGTGGTGATCCCTGTCTCCTATTTGACATGCCTTTGCATCTCATCAGCTAGAATTGTAAGCAGTTGCCTTTGGTGAGGACAATAGCCTTGGGGCGGGGCATCTGTTTCTACCAACAAGAGGTCCCTCTCAGGGAGCAACCTCTAGGACTTGTTCGTTGAACAGAGTCCCAACTTAACCCTTCTCCCAACTCTACTTTCCCCGATAATTTAATGCTGCCAGACAAAGTGCCGTGAACAGAAGGTCTAGAAGGAAGGGGTCCCTCCTGTGGTTGAGCCTGGGGGAGTTTGCCTGAATCTTAATCACTTACCTTCTCCTTCTTCCTGGGAATTTGTGACTATTTACCCAATTGTCTCTTCCCTAGGGAATTAGGGGCCAGGGAGAAGACCCTTCAATCACCAAAGAGGTAGGATGGAAATCCCACCCGTGTTGTAGAGCTTCTAGAAGCCATCTGCTCAGCAGAGTGAACTGAGACCTCACCAGGCTGTCTCAAAGACTTGTTACGTTTGTCAGTAAAATCCCAGTGCTACAATGAATGAGCTCGACACCAAGCCGTGATGCCTTCAGCCTGTGTCGCTGGAGCACTTATAAATATGTAAACGGGTTTCTGGGTGCCTTTAAAATCAGACCTGCTCTCTTAAAGCCAGCACAGGCCCTTCCTGCTCATGAAGGAGAGAGAGAAACTGGGTTCTGGTAGTAAGAGTGAAACCCTAAGAGAGACCTCAGGCTGCCCGGCAGGGGGGAGGGGACTTATGCTTGCCCCTTGGACCCACTGTCTATATCTCTCAGTGACTGCTCTCTCTGCCCTGCTGTGTGCAGTCAGCAATAGGGGAGACCCACTCAGACGTCTGTGTGCAGCCTCCCACACTGAGGACTGGAAGAGTTTTCACTGAGTTATCACAACTATCAAAAGCATGTCCTATCCACCCCCACCCCAACAATGGCTCTTCCTCAAGGTTCCTGAAGTTGTAAGGTCATGTGGTGTATCTGTGGGTTAAAGTGACCCTGGAAATGTCCCTGGAAAGAGAAAGCTATTGCCGAGGCCAGCCTGAGGCCCTTGTGCAGGTTTAGAAAGACCAGGGTGTGTTGCACGGAGGGGCTGAGATCCCTGCATTAGCAGAATTTGATGGGAACTAAATGTAATAGGAGAAAGAGATAATGCTTCTTCATGTAATTAATTCAACCAAGAGACAGGGAATGGTTTCTGTTGTTTAAAAAATAAAATTCCATCATGTTCATGTCTGTTTTTCTATCCTCCACAAGACCAGAGTCAAATGCTCCAGCCTCTAACGGAAACACACACTCAGGCAGCCCTGGGATCTTCCGCAGCCTCTAAAGACAAAGCATTTGGGCTGTGTGCATCTTCATTTTCTTAAACACCTAAAAATGGTCCCCAAATGAGTGGATGATGTCTCCAAGTCTGCACTGCTTTCTTTCTGATTCAAGCAGCTTAGCCAGGGAGAAAACTTTAGTCTTTAAAATATAGTAAAAGCTCGTTCAGATATTCAGGAAAGCATTTCTGATGTGAGACAAACGCCTTTGAACTTGTGAGTCAAAGTAAGAAACAAAGACAAGCTGTACAGATGAAGTCCTGTAGAGCCTCCAGTCCCCGGATAACTACTGCCTTGCATCTGCCATTGTTCCCATGCCTGTGGTTGGTTTTCATGTTTCAGGCTTCACATAAAACTCCCTGTGGTCATGCACTTATTTGCAAATCATTTTTGTTTTTTACTTCTTAAATTATAATTTTCTTTTTCTACTTTCATTTGTACTTGTTATTTTTACTGTGTATATAGAAATATTATTGGTTTTATTTTTTATTTTTATTGAAAACAGATTTTTTTTCTCACATGATATATCCTGATTACAGTTTTCCCTTCCTCCTCCCAGTTCCTCCCAACCTCCTCTCCCATCTGGATTACTCCATTTCTGTCTCTCGTTAGAAACCAACAGGTATATCACTCTTTGCTTAACTCTTGCTTAAACTTTCTGAAATATTGTACAAGTGTCTGCAGAGGCTTATGCCAACTTAAATGCCCACCATCTATGTACAAGACTTTGTAATACTTCCTGTTATTTCCTCCTTGCCATCCTCTCAATAGTGCTGGAGTGTAGGTTTTCCTTTCTTACTGAGTGTGCTCTTTAGTTTTTGTTTGTACTTCCAGTTATTAGTGAGGCCAAGCTGGCTCCCTGACCAGTTTCAACTCCGTGAATAGCCCTTTCTGTCATTTGACCACTCCCCTCCCAGGAGGTTGTTCTGCTGCTCCTCCTCACCTCTCCAGTGCTCCCCATGTGCTCTGAATGCTAACTCTTAGGAAAATGTACGGCTGATACCACACACATACACACACACACACATACACCACACACGCTACATACACACACCACACACACACACTACATACACACACACATACACCACACACACTACATACACACACTACACACATACACTACATACACACATGCCACACACACCACAAACATACATGTCACATACACCACAACACTACATGCACACTACATACACACACATACACACACACACACACACACACACACACACACTCCTTGTGCTTTGCTCCTGGTTGAACTTCACTGCAAAGCTCTTGGTCATTCATGTATACAGCCACTTAAATGTTTTCAGCAGTTTGTTGTGGGGGAACTTGTCTCAACATAGGAAACCTCCAAGTTCTGCATTGCACATTTAACTCCTTAAATGTTTTGGGATTGATTTTTCTGTTTTGTAGGAGCTAAAATCCATTTTCTTTCATTTTCAAAAGTGTGGTCCTAATGCCATCTATTGAGTAACCCTTCTCTTCATCACTGGCCATGCAAGGACAGTCCATTGGCTACTAAGTATCTCCCTTTCCCATTGGCTGACTTGACACCCAGGATGAAAGACGTGCTGCCTGCACCACTGTAGTTTTACAGAAGGTCATCAAAGCAAATTCCTCTGCCTCATTCTTCAGACTGACTTTGGCCATTTTTAGAATTTCTTTATTCTTTTTCCCTTCTTCGACTTTCTCCTGACTGTATATAAACAATAAAATGCCAAAACTTAAGCAAAAGAAGGAAACTAGGAAAAAGTTAGCCAGTGCTTTTTAAAAATACTACTTTTAAAAACATGCTTGCACACAGAGGGTTCTGAAGTAGTGCTCACACTGTACATCTGTGTCCTGGATCCCTAAGAATGTCCTTAAAGGTCAGGCTGTCCCTAGAGGAGTCCCCAGAGGACTCTGATTCCATCACAGCACGGGTCTAAGAATGAAGCATTCTTTCTCCAGTTCAAAGGAGACTTTATTTCCCTGTGACATTTCCACAACCTCATGATGACTCCTTGGTGTTCTGCAGTGTGTTCAGATTGAGACGTTCTTGTATGGATCGCAGGACAAGAAGACCCTGGCCACCCAGCAGACCATAGACACATTGTCCAAGTGAGTCAGCTTCCCTTACGTTGTCTCTGAATATTGTATCCCTTCGCCAGTCAGAACTCGAGGCAGGTATTGGAAAGTGGGTGTCTCAGTGGCTTCCCACAGCTTATATAGTTAAATGTAAGAGTAAGTCCTCTGAGAAGCCAGCTTAAAACATCTTCCTTGTCCTAATATTAGAAAGGAATTCATTCTTTGAGAATGTTGAAGCACTCTGGCTTCCATCCTCACACAGACCAGCCCTGAGGTTTACGTGCCTGCTGGAGAGGGAGGGCCTTGCCTCCAGAGCTCTGCCTTGAGCTTACCTCAGCTCCTAACAAGGCACGGGGGTGGCATGGGGGTGTGGGGGGGATAGGGACTGTAGCTTGAAGACTTGGCCGTGTGTCTTTCCTCAGCAGAGAGAGAAGCTTGGCACTACCTGGGAGGGCTCCCATTCATAGAGCAGGCATTCCCTGAGAGCCTATGGGCTAAGAGTCGGGTCCCCGTCAGGAAATGACAGCAGTGGCCTCACTGGAGGCACAGACCAGCCTCAAAGGGTACCATCCGCCTTTAGGGCAGCATAGGTGGGCCAACAAAGCCTCCCACCAGAACTTGACAGTCTTCTCCACTGTCCTCCTGCCACTGACCTACCTCAGACCTGACTGCCTCCGCCCAGGGAAGATGGCTTCAAGGCATTAAGAGAGGAGAAACACACCTCGTGTTGATGCTCCTGTGCCATGATTCTTCCTCACCTGCATCCCCTCCTGACGTTGCTTCAGAGCAGCTAAGGCCGATGGGAATCGTGGTGATCTGAGGGGCCATCCTCAGCCGTCTTCTTTCTCTCCACAGGATCTCCGAGGCTGCCACGAAGCCGAAGCAATCTCTGAAAGCCAAGACGGCGTTGTGCGCGAGCATCCCTCAGCACACGGTACCAGGGAAGGCCAGGCACAATGTGGCTGACTGATCCCCCATGTGCCCCAAAGAAAACTCCGAGAAAGACATGGCATTGCTTTTAGGGTGCTGAAGAAACCTCTCTCCCACCAGGAGGTGGCATTTAGCAGTCACTGCAGATTTTTAAGGCTGTTTGCTCCAGCATGCAATAGCGGTACCACCAGTCTTCCACGTCTCAACTGTGGACGCCCTTTGGGGTGACTGGTGCTTTGGTTATTTTTATTTGTGTCACTTTGCTCGTTTCTCTCACCAAGGAGAACCCCCCCCCATCATCCCTACTGTGCCTGAAAGACTCTTAGGAAGTTGGAGCTTCCTGCAGGAAAGAGACCTGCCTCTGACTGCAGGCAGAGCCCCTGCACAACCCAGAGCTGCCTCCCGGGTAGCGATACTGCACAAAGCCTTCCATATAGGAAAGTAATAGGAACTGAGAAGAAAATGCAATAAAGAGAAACCTGTGCTGGTGTCAGTTTGTGTGTTTAACAGGAAGACTGAAGCTCGATGTGGCTCCGTGACAGTGTGCCTGTCCTGGCTCCGTGAAGCCTGCTACGGCGTGAACGTGAAATGCCCCACATAGACTCGTGTGTTTGAATGCTTGGTACCACGGCTGCGAGGCCTTGAGGCAGGGGTCCAGTTGATGAAGTGGATCACTGGAGGTGGGCCTTGAGTTTCTTAGCCTGAGTCCCACTTCCTATCTGCTTCCTGACTGCAGACTCAGTGTGATTAGCTGCCTGGTGTTTCCACTGCCTCCCCCACCATGGTGTGTGTGTGTGTGTGTGTGTGTGTGTGTGTGTGTGTGTGTACAGGCACACATGCATCCCCATGCCTGTGCATGCATGCACGCACATCCCTCCCATCTAATAGGCAAAATAAACCCTTGTGCTTCTTGTTGGTTGTTTGATTGTAGCAATGAGAAAAACAACATGGAAGACAGGTATTGGGAGCTGGTCCACTGCTGTGGTAAGCCTGACTGTGGTTCTTGGGTGTTTGGAATTGATTTGCAGGAAGGATATGGAAGAATTTGGAAACTGACAAGAGCGTCCATAGAATGCTGAAAGCAGGTATTAATGGACCATCCTGGTGGGATTCTAGAACAAATCCTGACAGTAGAAGGGAATAAGGACTCTATAAGGACCTGGACTAAAGACTCTGTGTGCATTTGACCCATGTTCTAAGAACTCACATAAGCCTAAATTTAAAAGTAATGGACCAGTGTGGTGGTGGATGAAATTCTTAGCTAAGAGAGCATAGGTGTGGTGCAGTTACTGCTCACTGTTCTTATCCAGAGAGCGCAACAAGGGGAGCAGAAGACATAAAGGGCGTGGCATTTGGTGGGGAAAGGGATGAATTTCAAATTGGAGATAAGGTGGGTACAAAAGCAGCTTGGTTGTTAAAGGGATTGGCAGCCCCTTTAAGGAGAAATCTAGTATTCACACTAGGACAAACCCACCCAATAAAGGCTCCAATTCTGGAAAGTGAAAATGTGTTTGAAAGGAGTCAAGTAAGCCTCCATGTAGAAATCAGGGGTCCCGCTTGGAACTAAATGCCTGGGAGTAGAGGCCCGGGCAACTGTGGTCCAAGGGGTCCTACTCCATCTCAAGGTGGCAGCAGAATATGATGGCATTATCCACGTGGTGCTGGTCTTAAAGATGCAAAATGTGAGTGAGGGAGTCATGGAAGCGGCACTGAGGCCACTGGGTGACCTCTAGACGTTAGAGATGCCAGCACCAGGCATGTGATGTCTGCGGAAGGAGTCTGCACAGAGTCACACTGTCCTGGGAGGGGCTATGTGTGCTTCAGGCTGCAGAACTGTAGGGGCAGGCATATTCAAACTCTTAACAACCCGGACGGTTCTATCGTGAGCCTTGGGTGTAGAGGGCTAAAGGGTTTGGTATTTGACCTTCTGAGTTTTGATCTTGCTTTGGTCCGATCTTCCCTTGTTATGGTCCAATTCCTCCCTTTTGGAGTGGGCAAACTTACTCTGTGGTATTAATGTTGGAAGTGTGCATTCCTTCTTGAGACCGCATGCATTGTGCATTATGAGATGGCCATGGCCTATGGAGGCAGGGACAAAATGATGTGGCTTGAAATTGAAATGTCCCCTACAAAGTCATGCGGTTGATCATTTTGTCCCAGGTTCGGGTGGGCTCTGAGGTGGTGCCCAGCTAGAGGAAGTGGCCAGTGGAGGTGACCTTGAGGCTTCCCAGCCTCACCTCACACCCTGTCTACCCTTTGCTTCCTGACTGTGGATGCAGTGTGACCAGCCACCTCATATTCCTGCTACCCTGCCTTCACTGCCATGATGGGCTGTATCCCCTCAAACTGTAAGCCAGGAAAACGAAGACCACTCCAAAGGTCACCTGATGGCTGAAAAGGCGTGTTGGTGAAGCTGCATCTCTCTGTTAATGAACTCAGTTACATTTTTTTGAGCACCCAGTATATTATCAGGCCTGTGTGAAAAACTGAGGCTAAGGCAGTAAACCCGACACATACAATCCCATCCTCTCTGGCTTGTCACCCAATGCGACTCTAGATAATCAAACACAGTAGCACAATTAGTAAACAGCAGTGTAGCAGTTGTGACAGATGAGACACGAGACTAGGGTTCAGGGGTCTGGGGTCTAGGTCTTTGTGCCAAAGCTCTCATGGGTGACCTGGAGGAACCCTGACACTTTACTTCCTTGTCTCCTGTGATCACTATCCTAGGCAGGGCATGCAGCTGCTACCAGAGCCTGCACAGTCTCTGCGCCACTCCACAGTGACCTTCGTTCTCCCCAGCAGACACCACAGTTGGGAGAGCCTCTTTTTGTAGGGAGATGAGTGCGGGGACAAGGGCTGTGGAACGCCCACAGGGCTGAGTGCGGGGACAAGGGCTGTGGAACGCCCACAGGGCTGAGTGCGGGGACAAGGGCTGTGGAACGCCCACAGGGCTGAGTGCGGGGACAAGGGCTGTGGAACGCCCACAGGGCTGAGTGCGGGGACAAGGGCTGTGGAACAGCCAGCGGGCTGAGTGCGGGGACAAGGGCTGTGGAACAGCCACAGGGCTGAGTGCGGGGACAAGGGCTGTGGAACGCCCACAGGGCTGAGTGCGGGGACAAGGGCTGTGGAACGCCCACAGGGCTGAGTGCGGGGACAAGGGCTGTGGAACAGCCACAGGGCTGAGTGCGGGGACAAGGGCTGTGGAACAGCCACAGGGCTGAGTGCGGGGACAAGGGCTGTGGAACGCCCACAGGGCTGAGTGCGGGGACAAGGGCTGTGGAACGCCCACAGGGCTGAGTGCGGGGACAAGGTCTGTGGAACAGCCACAGGGCTGAGTGCGGGGACAAGGTCTGTGGAACACCCACAGGGCTGAGTGCTGGCCCAGGCAGTTGTCCCTTCTCCCCCCTTTCTCTTATACCGTGGTTCAGGCCAGTGAGGCTGCAGGCCATTGCTAGGAGGGCAATAGGGTTGGAGCACAAGCCTGTCCTGTCGTGTCAATTTGTTCAGAGTGACACTTTTGAGAACTGAAGGGGAAATCAGCCATGACAGGGCTGGGCCTTTGTCTTCCTCAGCAGTGTGGCAGGCAGGACCATCCTTACTAATGTCTATTCTCCCAGACTCAGGCCTATGGGACGGCAGCAAGGTAGAACATTATTTGTGGCCACTGTAGAATGTCCTTTCTAACTGAAGACATGCGTTTCAACACAGCCAGTGGGAAAAGCATTTTTTAAAAAGGCTGCCATGGGCTTCCTTGTTCCTGAAATGTGATGTCTGAAGCCTTAGCAGATGGACTGTGGCAGCAGGGGTTGGGGGGGGACTGTAAGTGTCCTTACAGAGAACCAAGAGAAGCGACCGCTCTCCCTACTCCATGTAAACAGCTGCAAGGTGGCTGTCTACAAGCCCGGAAGCAAACACTTACCTACTAGAAGTAATTCCATTAGCATTCTTGGAGTGTATTCTCAGACCTCCAGAACTCAGGAATAAATGTGTTTGGCGAAGCCATGCAGCAACACACCCAAAGACTCGTGGTGTCTGATCTGTAACTTCACCCTTTCTGAATTTCCTGGGATATATTTTAGAGCCACAAAAAACAAATCCCCTGAAGAGTGAATTTACCAGTGTAAACAGTGAGGGTGCTGGTTAATTTGTTATTTTTTTCTTTTTGTTTTTGTCAATTTGGCATAAGGGGGGGTTCATATGGAAAAGGAAATCCCATTTGAGAAAAGGCCTCCATGAGTTACTCTGCAGGCTTGTCTGTGGGGGATTTCCTTGATTAATAATGGATGTGGGGGTGCCACCCCTGGGTAGATAGTCCAGCGTTTTATAAGGAAGCAGGCTGAGCAAGCCATGGACAGCAAGCCAGTGAGCAGCATTCTTCACTGTCCTTGCTTCAGCTCCTGTCTCCAGGTTCCTGCCCTGCTTGAGTTCCTGCCTTGGCTTCCCTCAGTGATCGACTGTGATCTATGCATGGAAGTCAAGTAAACCTTTCCCTCCTCAGGTTTCTTTGGGTCATTGTTTTTACACAGCAACAGAAAAATGACTACTACAGTGAATCTTATCACTGTCTCCCACCCGTGCCATTAGCTCCCCCAAGTGAGAAGAAATACAGCCATCCGTGCTTTATTTTCTGTTGATAAAAGGCTAGATTACAGACAGACAACAGTCACCCACTCCTCTGATTTTCTTTTTCTTGCGAGATACTGAGAGATGGCTGTGAGCAACCTTATGAACTGCTTTGAGTGTCCAGCTGTTGGGCTCCCACCAACAGCTGGTTTTAGCAGTGAGTGGCTGTGCCTTGGTACCCTCCTCCATCCTGGGCAGAATGGATGGATGGCCCATCCTGCTGGCACCATCTTCCAGGCTGTGGTGACGTTTTATCACCAACTATCACATCTCCACTCAGACACAAGCTAGCTGTTAGTGTATGTTTTCTAGTTTGTGCCTATAGTACAAGGTTCTCATCTCAGGAGGAATTGAAGAACTGGAAATTTCCATATGTGACCTTTCTAATAACTCAGGACTACCATTGAAACATGGACAGAAACCCAGGTTGGCTTTCTTTAGAGTCTGAAAGAACCATGGGAAAGCCGGCCGGAAAACATTCTCTTAAGGAACAATAAGATTTTTTCGCCCTCAGATCTTTATTTCTACACATTCTTGTGACAGTTCCCTTTGTAGGAAACAGGAGGTTAGCAAAATAAGCTTCTTAGATAATTTCAAATAAACACTTTAAACAAGCTACCAGAACAACCAGTGGAAAGCTGAGAGACATCCAGTGTCTTGTAGTCTCAACAATAATAAACTGGGAGAGACTGGGTGTGTCCCCACCCTCCCTGCCCCATCAGTGTTGATGTGACTCCAGAATGACTGTTTTCAAAAACCTCGGAGAGCTTTGGGGTAACTTGCTACAATGTCAAGGCTAAGAGCCCTGCCCTTAATGACCTGGAGACCTAGTAACCAATGACAGTTAAGGACTCCTCCATTCTTGTA